CAAACAACTAGCTTGAGGGATCATAAAAAAATCTCTGATGTAACTACAAAATAATAGGAAACATTTACTGTGGACAGCACCAGATCACAGAAATTTACTTTGCCAGGTGCACCATGACCTTTTCTATGGGAAGCAGAAGAGAAAAGCCTTCCAGGATGAATGCAATTAAAATAAATCTATCATATGATAAAGGCAATGATACTTCATCCTTAGTATTTTATAATTATCAATAATAAATTATATTGCATTGCATAAATTATAATAATAAATTATAAAACCATATTGGTTATGAGGTTGCATGTCATGACACAAGACAGACCTTTGGGTTTCCCGTTCAGTTCTCACTTCACTATTTTACTAACTAAAGGACAAATGAAAACGAGACTGAAGTTCTCCAGAGTCTTAGCAGTAAGTTAACCTTCCAGACGACTGCAGAAGAACCAACTCTTGCTGTTCCAGGAAAGGTAATTTTTCGCATCTTTATTTCCAGCCATGTAAATTACGATCTCATCCTACACACTCATGGGTGAGAGATGTCTGACAACTGTTTTATAACTAGCACGTTCTGTTCAACTGCCTCAGCATATTTATAAGATTATCTTCCTGGATAAGTATACTCTAAAAAGTCTCTAGAGAGTTCGAATACCTACATTATGAATCTATACGAGAGAAGAATTTTTTATTTATATAATAAAAATATGTATACAGGATGTAGATTTTTTATTTCCCAGGACATTTCCAAAGAAGTCTGCTTAACAATAGAAGCATCTCTTCTGTGAAGCTCAAAAGCTGAAGGGCTCACTTATCTATGAATTCCAACAAAGCAGCCCTTATTTAGGTCTTATAAGAGAACTTCTTAAGTCTCAATAGGTTTTTTCTAAACAAGCCAGGTCTGGAATTTTCATCTTTGGTCCAGTAACTCAGCATCAAATTTCTTTTTAAAACCTGGGAGAAAATGGCTGCAGGATTTTTATCCTCTTACAAAGACATCTACTAGCTTTGTTCTAAGAATCTTTGGCCTGAAATACAGGATGAAAAATAAGATCATAAAAGGAATTAGTTTGAGAAAGAATGACTGGGAGAAGGAGATTACAGTGCAAAACAGATTTCAAATTTTTAAAGCGACAGTCATTACAGCACAACCACCCATTGTGGTACCAAAAAATGGAGCAGCCAAAAGTTGGTTTTATTGTCCCATTGTGGAAATGCAGTTGTATCTGTCCGCTTGTAATGATTTCTTCATGCAAATATGGAGGCAATATCCAGTTTCTCCTAGTTCATTCAAGTAAAATTTGTATACATTTTAAACTTATCTTTGGACTTCATGCTGTGTAACTGGACAGACAACAAGATGCAGCATTTAGCATCATTAAAGCACTGAGAAACATTCATTATCGTTACCCTTCATGCCCTTCTTTGGGGTAAGTAACTCCATACACCAAAAATAAACCATCATTTACCAAAGGGCAACACTGAACACCCACTATAGTTCTGGAATAAATACTGCAGAGACGCACTTATGCTGCAGCATGACAAATATCTTCTTTTTATTAAGAGATCAGTCTGGGAGTAGATATCATCATCCTCATTTTAACACAAGGACATGGAATGCTGAATGGGATCTTCAGCTGTATTTGACACAGACCCAGAGACTGATGGGAAATGACAGGATATGTGGCCACAGAGATTTGTGGCCAGAAGCAATACAAACCCAGGTTTCTAGCACTGGTCTCTTAATTTTAGGAACTGACCTTTAAAGACCTAGAGCCTAATTTTCATAAGGCCTGAATGCTCCTCGTTCAGAGAAGTATTTTTCACTTTCGTTCTCCACGAGATATGTCTGTGAATGCTCTCAATGTAACACTAAAGGCCTAAATCCCACCCCCAAGGTGTCTCTCGGTGGTTAAAGGGCCAAGGACAAATTGGCAATGTGCTCCTGTGTGGCACCTGCACTGCCACAGCCCTGTGCTCTCCCCTGTCTGCTGCCCCCATAGCAGCCACCTGGTATGGTGAAGAGATGGGAAGAGCAGTGAAGCCTGGTAGTAATATGCACCAACTACATCACACAGATGGAGCTCAGGAGGGTGGATTTACTTCGATTAAGAAGAGTCAGATATAGTCAGAATCCTGAGGTTTTTTTTCTGTTCTCCCTAATTATTACTAGTATTATTTGCCATGCTTTCAATAAATCTTTTATAAAGTGACTTTAATGTTTCTTTTAAAGTTAAAAAACAAAACAAAAAAACCAAAAAAAACCCCAAAGAAACACAAAAGCAAAAGCCAACACTGTAAAAAGATTCCTGCTAAAATGTTTCTCTGGAAACTCTGTGAGCATAGCCAGCTAGTGCAAAATAGCTGCCTTCTGGAAAACAAAGCAACAGGGCTTTCCTGCTCCCAGCACTTCAGCGCAGGCACTGCTCATCTCAGCCAGGCCAGGATCTACTTAATGCACACTAATGCACATTAATGCACATGCTCAAGTATTCCCATGCAATGAAAGCCAGGATATGGACACAGCCTTTTAAAGAAAATCATTGTTGTAAAGCTTTTAATTTTAAGCACTGAAGATGTCTCGAGCTTCTTTCTTGGTCCATTTTTTGCACCTACACAGCCAAAGGAAGTGGTGCCTGTAGCTCATGTTCCCCTTATCCAGTTTTTGTGTAAAGACCTTCAGCAAAAGCCTGGGCTACCAATCCACGTCTAGATTTCTTACATGCCTGGACTGGTGCTGAGACTGCCAGGCTGTGTTAACTCCTTCATGATTAATTTATACCAGTTTTGGAACACCCACCAGACATCTAAAGTGGTGCAGAAAAAGGCCAACAGAAAGAGGGAGAGGACAAGGAAAGAAACCAGACTAGCAAAGGATGCTTCGGTCATGGGTAAGATCACAAATCATGAAAAACCCTCAGATTTTAACATGCAAAGGATACTGGTACATTGCAATGCTGGGTATGGTTAAAGAGACTGTACAGCTCCTACATCTTTGTCCTTGAGGCTTTGTTAAAGTAAGACTTGCAACTTCAAGTTCATAAATAAAATGGAAATGACAGTAGTGCCATAAAAACGTAGGTAGAAAAATAGTGCAAAGCCAAAGGCTGGACACTTTAATCTGTCATAAGTACCCCAAAGCACTACCATTAGTGCTCTTCATGAAAACACATACAGAAAACATTCTTTATTTATTATAAATGGCAGTTGCCTGCATTGCACTCTGTATTTAGAATGTACTGTCTACCGTTCTGCTTCCCTTCAAAGCTGAGGATGAAGAATAAATATAGCCTTTCACACTGGCGAGCACTGCCTGCCCTCCAGCCACGACTGGTAGCGAAGTCAGACAGTATTTATAAAAGAAATCAATTAAAAAGTATAACAGACAGTATCTGTTAAGGCCTCTGTCCTTGCTAGTCTGCTCAACATACTACACTTTCTCAAAAGAACACCTGCCACTTTTGTTACAGTAACCAGAGAGCTAAGTTAAACAGAAAAAAAAGGTCACATTTACAGCTGCCAAGAAGGCAAAGTTCCTGAGGCTCAGCCAAACACCACACACAGACACCCTGGCAGCACCCTCCGGGTGACCCGCGCCGTGTGGTCGGAGAGGGCCGAGCGCGAGCCCGACACCACGCTCGGGCCCAGCATCTCCTGCAAACCTCGCAGCCCTCATGGAAAGGGGTTTGGAATTACAACCAATTGTATAGTGCAAACTTGTATCTGTTCCCACATGTACAGAAAGCACAGACGGGAGTCCAGAACAAAAGCGCCACAGGCCCCGATTGTGAGGAGAATTATCCATTAAGGAAATAAACTCCAGAGAGTAGAGTCTGATCTCAGCTACTCCTGACTGAGCCTGGAGTAATTCCAGCTCTTCAGCGAGCTTTCAGTGAACTCATACAGGTGTAACTGATACCAGGGTATGACTTGGTTTGGTGGTGAGGCACCAAATTAAAATGAAGCACTTATTAAATGACAGCTTTCTAGATTCTGAGTTACTAAAAAATACCAGTAACAGAGTTTGTTAACCTTGAGTAGGACGAAAGAAATACCCACCAATGGAGGGAGCTCACATTTACACAGCATTTCTCAAGCATTCACTCCAGCATGTCCATAAGGTTCTGAAGGAGGGCTTGGCTTAGCCTGGTTTCAATAACTTTTTAACAGTGCTGCCACCCCACGTAAACTGTTGAAAAAAAGATGCTGACTGCCCATATGTACTTAGTACATCTGTGCCCATGCCATGCTCTGTACACACACAGCCAGGATCCCAACGCTGGACACAAAATGGGAACTGTATCACAGTCTTTCTTAAAACATTACCTTCACTGTGAGTTTGCTGCACCCATGGTACTGACAAAAGGCATGCCCAGTGCTAGGGAAATATGCATATCCCTAATATTTCTCGGTAGATACATCATGTTTGATGTGAAAAAAATAGCAGCTTTCGCATGGTAGTCTGGTCTCTCAGAATAAAGCCGTATCTTAGAAACAGTTTTGTTGTTTTTTTACTTCTGTAGCTGAGATCAATGGTAAAAATCAAATGGATTTCAATGCTGAAAGAAATGCTATGGCAGCCAATTGACAGGGAACTACCAAACATATTTTTCTTAATGGTTTGTTACATTTAACTGGACACAAGCTAGCAGACAGAAGGACCTAATCAGGCTTTACCCTCTCCCTCTTTTACAAAAGACCCAAAACTTTCTGAGAAATCTGAGTGTCACCAAGAACCAACAGCAAGCACAACAGTAATGACTAGATCTGCAAAGGCAGAGTAATGCAGCAGGATCGAGTCATGTGCAGCCGATGGAAAATGGGAATGCTCTATCGGTCTTGAACGGTGGATCATATCAGTGGTATGAAGTACTGAATGGTGTCCTGTTTTCCTCTTCAGGAAGCAAAAACCTACGCTATACGTACTGCACAATAATCTAGACTTTTCCCCCACTAGGATTTGTTACTGATAGAGTAGCCTGTAAAGAATAGGCACTTATCCCAAGAACTGGCAAAAAAAAAGGAGCATTATTTGGTAGGAATGGCACCCAAACACAACCATTGTGCTTTCTCACATGTATATGTTGTACAGATGGAGACTCAAAAAGACAAAGAGTTTTAGGTTGTCGGCAGGCTGTGTTTTTTCTTTTTGCTCCGGCAAGATTTGCAAATGCAACAGATGATGCATGGAGATGCCACAAGCAGCAATGGCGAGGTCACCAATGCTATGATACCTAGTCCAACGAGGATCCCCACAACCTGAAAGACAGGGTGGTGAAAAGTACATATTTAGATAGCATGGAAAATAAAACATGCATGTGCATAAACATAACATGGGTCACAAAAAGAAAAAAAAAAAAGAAAAAAAAGAAAAAAAAAGAAAAAGAAAGAAAATATGAAAATAATCATCTTGGTTCTTGTCTGAAGGGTAAAATCTCTTTGCTTCATGCATGCATGAGAGCTCTGCCCAGCTGGCTAGGAACACACCTGTGTTCTGTTCCACATCACTGAAGCCCGTGAGTGGCCCAGCTTGTTTCTGCAAGGGCCTCTGTCGTAATGTCGTAAGAAAATATCATTCTGAAAAACAAAAGGAGAAGTTGTAAGAGCAGGTTACAGAACTGCAGGGAGAGGTTCAAGACCAGAGTGGAAACACAACCTTCCTGGCACTGCTTCGAAATTGCCAGCTGCCAGCAGGCGAGTTCACCTGTCTTCTAAATAATTACCTAGAGTAACTTCTCGCAGTTTCAGAAATTGGTGTATGTTTGGCACCTGAGCTATCATACAGCATCTTTCATCCTCCACTTTTAAAAAGCATAAGCACATGAGTTTCACCTATTGCACAAGTACGTGGTCTATAATTTGGTGATGATAAAAGGGAAAACAACAGGCATTTCTGAAACCTAGCAATGTGAGGGATCATCTTCCTGAAGTATTCCACCTTCTGTTCTCCTGATGTACCTACTTCACAGTAATTTTCTCCTTAGACTTAACAGGAAAATATAAAAAGTACAAAAATCCTGTTTCACTTCTCTTTAACCATTAATACTTATTAAACTACCAATTCCTTTCTCCAGGTGACTCATGCCCTGCATTACCCTCCCTAAACCACTGTGCTGTAACCTGATGCTGCTTCCCCTTTCACTTTTCAGGTCTGCTCTCTGGCTTTGCAGCTATTACCTTCATCTATGCCTGGAGCTTCTGTAAACCCCACACATTCAGAAAAAAATACATTTGAATCACACAACTATAGTTTCTTTCTCTCTTTCTCCCTTTGAACTGACAAAAACTCGATAAGGGCATGTCTGCGGAGTCTGCAAGAATGCGACACTCTCCTGGTTCAGCACAGTGTTAAGCAATCACTGTGTACTGCATGTACTCTGAGGCAAGCCCTAAGACTCATGTTGAAAAAGCACATTCACCCACAGTGAAAGGAGACATAACACTGAGGGAAACCTGTTTAACATGCTGAGTAAAGGATGAAGACTGAGGAAGTCTCATTGTTTGCTGGCTGTGGAGTACAAAAAAGAAGACAAGAAAAGCCACGCAGCACACAACATTTTATTTCAAGGGCTGCTAAAGTCCTTTTCACACTCCCACAGTTGTTACTGATGACTGTGCCAAAAGGGCAAGCTGCCATATATACAAGTGCATTACTTCAGGACTCTTCATGCTGCTAGGATACTTGAAGTCCACACGAGTTGAGACTGGTTTGCAACCTTTGAGAAAAAATTAGCAACCTGCACTTCACAATCCATGTTCATGATCCAGTATTTTTATCCTCAAGCCTAATAACCAATTGTTCTCTTCAGCAAAAATGGCACTAGAGAGGGACTAGTAAAGGAGACCTTGTCCTTCCTAGCAGGGAGCCCTTAAGCCACCATACCATGGAACAACTCCCTTCACCCAGTACTGTAGCATGTTTTAGACAGGCTGTGTCCTTTGCTGTTGAAACAAGCAGAACATTTATTTTCCTCACTCTCAACCAAACTGTCTTTAACTACTGGAAGAGGGAAACTGAGCAAGGTATTGCTGCAACAAACCTCCAGAAAGTGATGTGCTAGTCCCATTTCCCTCAAAGAACTAACACGGGACCCACAGACATGGCTATAACCCTTTATGGAAGAAATAAAAATTATACTGATATAAATAAAAGCACTGGGTGAAAGAAGAGAAAGAAACTGAGTCAGAAGCTGAACTGAGCCAAGAAATAAGGTAGGACAGCAATGAACTAACAAAGAGCTTGCACGGGGCCTCAGACTAACCCTAACATCATTATTCTTTATCTTGGTGTTTTTTCTGCAGTACTTACATCCAAGTTCTGTAGACAATACCAGCAAAACGTGTGCTTGCAGTTTTTGCACATCATCTGAGCACAGCCCTCGTTTCGCTCAATATAAATTCGACAAACTGGGCACTGCTTAATTGGCGCCTCTGTCTCTGCTCCAATAAGGAATCTAGAAAAGTAAGGAAACATTCAAGTGAGATGAGAACATTATTGTTGGCATTCAGGTCCACTGCCTGATATGTATTGTGCTTATTTTTCAGAGCATCTAATATTGTTGTCCCAATGCACTCAGTGTGTGAAGCTTCAGAACAATACACTGAAGCATACTCACTACTAGGTGTAAGACTATTAATATCACATAAAAGTGAAAATCCCCTGCCTTGTTCCTTGATGCTATATAAAACCAACACTCACTACACCCACAGTTAATCACCTATGGTATTAAAACTTAGGACTTTGTTACAGAGACCTTGCACAATTCATTTAACAGGACTGGATTATGCAACTCATAGCACTTGTCTGAATAAAATAGGCTTAAACTCCACCACAGCCAGAGATCACACCTAGAGAAGAAAAATCGTAAAAAGAGCTTTTTGGCAACTCCTATTCAATGGAGTCTCTAGAAAGTAGAATGCTCTAGGTTTAAAGTCTTTCATTTCCTAAAAAAATGATAGAAAACTTAGAATACATGACTCAACATAACCTGATTCTGAAAACAAAGATGGATAGCCAAAGACATGATGTAATTTAAACACAAAAATCTCTCTTCTGTAGATTAATGACTTTTAAAACCTGATCTGTAGGCTGCTTGCACTTAAGGAAAAGGAGCATAAATCAGGCTTCTCACACCAAGTGAGATTTACACTCTGTATGAGTTAAAGTTTTTCTGTGCAGAGATTCTATATATATTAAGCAGGGGTGATTTCTTAATCACAGTATAGGCAAAATCTGTATCCTGCAACATTGGTATATTGGATTTTTTGTATGGGCATAGCTCATAATTCTAACATGTGAACAAAACCTTTAGACAGATTTAAAGTCCTGGAGGGCTTCACCTTTCAGAAGTGTCAGTTGCAACCCAAGCTTGGCAAGTACACAAATAATATTGAGCATTAAAAAATGAAATTTATCATTTAAAGTAGTATTTAGACTGGAATTGTATTTAGGAAACACCAGGAGACATGGACAGTTTCCAAGCTGAAGCTGTGGATCTGGAAGCTGCTCCATGAGCCTGATGTGAGGCCCTGTGAGGAAAAGAAACAGAAGACTGCGTGGCCATCATGGATTCCCATCTTACCCCTGCTCGGTAGGTACTGGAGTAGTTTGGTTTTCCTGGCACAGGTGCTGCCCGTGCCACGGCTCCTTGCAAGAGGAGCAGAAGGTCAGGTGGCAGGCGGGGCACTCCACTGGCACCGGTGCTCCCGACTCGCTCAGTGCAACGTGGCACACTGTTTGGCAGTCGGCTGTGGGGCACCATGTTCTCTGGGGGTCCAAGTGGACTTCTGAAAAGCAACAGAGAGAGAAATAAAACTCTTTATACGGTCCCCTTCTTGATCCAGTGACATGTGTCTAGGTATACAACACCCAATTCTGCACAAGGGTGTGGGAGCCAAAGCGCTCCGCACCCACGCCCATGGGCATTTGGGCCTTTTCTTCTTTAGGCAGGTCTGCATTTGTGCTCTGCTAAGCAGTTGCGCTGAAAGTATTGCAACAACAGAAATACAATGCACAGAATGTGTTCCTTGCCTTCTTACAGGGAGGTGCAAAATATGAACCTAATTGCTGCTTGCTGAGAAGCATGTGTCTTTTGTAACACTAGGCCACTCCATGTATTTCACATGTGCAAGCCATGCAGTAACTTCCATATAAACAGCAGAAGGACTGTAATTAAATTAATGTCAAGTCACTTTCCATGCCTGATTTACTCTCCTCTATCTTTAAACTGCAGTTAATATTCACTGTGTCATAACATTACTATTTGTCTGGTATCAGATTATTACAGGAGTGAAGATTCAGGGTGTAGACACTGAGTTACAATCATCACCACATGGCAGAGAATGATAAACCTTGATCCTCTCTCTCACTTCCAAACCTTTATTCAAGGAATTTGCAACAAAAACCTACTGGGGATACATTCACTGTTGCTCATTTGCTGCTCAGTTCCATGAGATGCAGCTGAGCACTCACACCCTGCAGAGCCTCTCCAGAAAAGGGCTGTCATGCCTGCAGGAGCTACCTTGTCCCTCCTCCTTCCCTGGGAGCTCTCTGGTACCACCACTGGAAATAAATAGATGGAGGGGATGTCTCCAAAGTCGGTGGAAATCCTGACCATGAGATGGCAAAAGCCATTACAAGGTACCTGCAGCAGACAAAATTAATTGTCCCACTTGAAACAAAAAAACTGCACAAGAATCTCATATATATATATGATCTCTGGCAAATGTTGCTGAAAGTACACATGGATGTTCCTCTTCTCTGATGGCTGCAGGACACAGGTACACAGTGCTCTGACTTCAGGTAATCTCTGAGTCTGTGTCAGAGTGCTCCAACAGAGGAGGAGAATTTCTATATCCAAGCAAAGGCTGTCACCTATAATTTAGGCAGTGACAGCAAAACACCTGTACCTTCAGCTACTTCATGGATCTAGTTGCATTCTTTTCTCTGTCTTGAACATGCTTTGCCTCCTAAAACAAACAAACATTTTACTTTCTACTGAATGAAAGCAAAACCAAATTAGTTCTCAGCTTCATTTGTATGGAGAACCACAGCCAATCACATAACTTTTCATATTTACATACTCTTAAAAGGTAATATCCTGACTGAGAAATCTTCTCTAGGTTCCTTTAGTGTCTCTTAAAAGAAACTCTGAATTGGGTAAGACTATGGCCTAGTAGTTGCTATTGAATTTAATCCTTCACACAATAGGTTCTGCATGTTTTCTGTTGAAAATTCAGCTTTGGAAACCTAAATTCCCCTATCCTGTTTTTGTGTGAAAGACAAAATATCTGGTTTTGACATCATTGTAAGGAAGGGAGTGAGGCTGTAAACCTGTTTTTTAAGAAATTTGTTGCAGCAAGATGTAATGCATGAGATGAAACTCCTTCCTCTCCTACTTCCTCCATTTTACAAAGAACCTACAGACAGTGTTTTGCAATCCAGGCTGTCTCATACTGTTTGGTTTACCATGCAGTACAAGCAAAAGCAGAGAAAACTAAAAAAGGCACAGCCAAAACAAGGAAAGAGGCTATCGTCCTACTCTGGCAAGTTGCTCCGTCTCTTGGTTAAGGCCATTACTCTCCCGAGCTTTTCCCTGCAGCCAGTTCAGCCACAACTCCTTCCACTCTCAGGAGGAAAGCCCTCCCAGACAGTGCCAGTTTCGGTCAGGGACCTGGCCAGTTTTCATAAAACATGCAAGCAAGCAGGTGAGATGTGGGTGGCAGACAGGGGGAATGCAGCACCACGAAGAAAATAATTTCTGGCTCAGAAGAGGTAGTCACTGAAAGGATAAGACTATGATTGTATTTCACAGAAATCTCCATTTAAAATGGACTACTTTTGAGTCAGGCATAAAATGGAGATTCTCTTCATCTACCACTCAGCCTACTGAGTAATTGTCACAGAAACAAACATAATGCATGTGCCCTAAGCACTTGCCATTCCTCTATTTCTTTACTTCAGTTGACTACATCAACCCCATCCTAAACAGACATAAAGCAATTCCTGTTTCTTCTAATAAATATGCTTCACAGAAGCTCTGTGGTTTGGCCCTGACTGGATGCAGAGAAATTAAAGATATGCAAAAAAATCTTGTTTTTAAAAACACACTTGCATCCTAAGAGCACAAAACCCACAAGAGAACAGCATATTGTCAGTGCATCAGTTATTAAATTTAACAATTGTCTATAGATACACCATTCTATACCACCTACTTTTTGCTATGTTTTCACACAGTATTATTGGCCCATTAAAAATATATATATATGCTATTAACATAGCTAGCACAGATTGGGGAAATAGCTGTTGGATGTATAAATCCTTCTGGGGGTGTTCCAAATTTTCCTCAAAATTCATTTCACAATGAAAAATATCTGGAAAGGCTTTACCAATCACTTGAAGATCAGGAAGGAGTCTCTGGGCAGATTCTGGGTCAGAATTCATCCCTAGCAGATGCCATCAGTGAGGTTTATTGCTAGTTTCAGAAAAAGTGTTAGACCAGGGCAGGCAGGCTTTTCCAGGTAAGGCTCAGGTCTGAGAATGGAGCTCCAGGCCACCAGAAACTAATAAGCCAATTCCCACTGGTGAGTGCAGAAAGGTCAGCCTTGGGGAACAGCACTAAATCATAGTAGATAGGCAAAGGTCTTGGCTAGGGCTGGGATTAGTGGTGGGTGTCCAGGTCAGAGCTTTAGCTAGCAGGAATTGTCGTTCCCAGACATCAATAAGCTGGATTTACAGCTGGGGCCAAAAGGCAAGGCAAAAGGGCTATGTCTAAGTCTGCTGCTTGGACACCAGCTTTATCGTAAAGGAGCAAGAACAGATATTAGAATCATAATGAGGAGAGATAGCAGAGGTGGAAGAGGATTTGTCAGACTCAGGCAAGAAAGAAAAGGAAAGGAGGATTTAAAAATAGACAAGTTTCAGGCTTCTCCGTGCGGGAGGAACTATTTAAAAAAATATATATGTAACAGTGAGTCGGACAAAAGATCATGAGTTCAGCTTTGGCTAGTTATAGAGAAGATACCAGGAAAGCAATACTTTCAGAGTCTTCAGTTAAAAATGGTTTTACATAAAACAGATTAATGCAAGCCAAGAAAGCCTCATTTTCTTAACCCTTTAATACAGTGATTTAACAAGCTCTGATTTCCATTGTCTGAGACTGTAGACAAGCCCCTGATTAGCTTATGAACTAGAGGGACTTCATAAGGAATTAAGAATAAATAAAAAGGTGGTGAAACAGGAGAAAGAAATTTTAAAAATGAAAGCAAGGTCTGGAATTTTTTTCCTTTTATTTTTACCCGAGTGCCATAAAATCATTGCTACAAATCTGCGCTTACCCATAAACTCTGGGGCACATTTGAATATTTTACAGTTTTTGTACTTTGTGGGCATTCAAAAAGACTCATGTCAGACGAGATTCTGTAAAAACCTATATATTCTTATATCTAACCAACTTTTCAAGTCCATTGCTTTGCCTAATTTTTATAGACCTTTACATTGTCTTACACAATCCACTGCATCTAAGCAGGCATGCAGAGCAAGAATATAAATACAGCCTTTCATGGAAAGTTTGAGAACAAGCAGAGTGGGGCAGTGTCTCAGACACACCACTCTGCATGCTACCAAGCACTGAGTTCTTTGAAAAACACTGCACCTTTCAGCTGAAACCCTCAAGCTGGTGACAGTCTTTAAAACCAGGAACGGGATCTCATCTTTCTGACTAGCAAGTTTCTTCTTCAGCCTTGGCAAGGAACCACCTCTTGATGCAGAAGGGTGATCTCTGGGCATAGGAAAGCTTGGCCTAAGTGAGACCTTCAGTTTCAAACTTCTTTACGAAGCAGGCCTTCCTCAGGAATGAGGGGACCTACTATTCCCAGGGGAGAAAAACTCTACTAGATGAACACACATGAGGTTTCTACGTAAGCAAAGCAATTTTTGCAGGGATGCTTGCAAAAATCAACATTGCATTTCAGAATATGTGTCCCCCAGAAGCTCTGAAGATCTCTATGGATGTGTAAAAGGATGGTGTGTCCTGGCCTGCACCAGCCTCTAGCACCTTGACAAGTTCTACCAGTACAACCACCTCAAGGATCCAAGATGAACATGCCATCGGAAGAGCAATGGAGCCCCAGGCACGCAGTCTGAGAGTGCTGCCCACAAGCTTGAGTAAAAGTCTGCTAATTTTTTTGATTCTGCAAAACAGAGAATTTCAAATTTGTCTGCGGAGCGCAGTCAGACCTAGTGACTGCTCTTAAACTATTTGAAAGCAAAGACATCTTCTCTGTCTCTTCCTGAACTCATTCAACAGGCCCTGCCTCTGCCGTACGTAACAGTGCTGCCTCCACTGACAAGAAAGAAGGCAATAGAAACAAAAAAGGTTCACACCTCTTTCAAACTTCAACCTCTTGTATAACTCAAACTGGTCAACAGGAACCAAACAGGCAATCTGAAAAGAGAAATACACAAAATAAGCATTAGAAATACAAACTTGAAAAAGTTAATAAGGGCTATGTTCTACACATCTGCCTTCCTGAGCTGGCTCTCAAATTCACCTCTTTGTTCCTGCACCATGCTCCCCCATACCCTGACTTCTTCTCCAAAACTTAAAAAGTAGTTCTTAACCTTCCCTTCCCTAATTCATCCACACAGCCCAGAAGTTCAGCCCATGTCTTTCTTACCATGCACAAGAAAACCTTCTCTGTGGATTCCGTATTTACTTCAGGCTTGCCAGTTTTATTTCATGTTGGTTTAGCGTAACAAAGAGTGACATGTTGCCAGCCCTGGAGACTGCAGCACGCTGTTCATGCACAAGAATACAGCTCAAATGAATGGTTCTTCATTTATGTCTCCCAGTGTTTATGGCAGGGGTCACTTAGCTCTCCAGAACTGAAAGCAGTTTGGTTTCCATTTTTTATTAGTTTCATTTCATGTTTGGGCCAAGACAGCTAATGCCACTGCTGCTGGAATTTGCCTTAGACACAGAGCAGCCTATTGGGAACCAGACTGAAGTTAACAAATTTAGTTGGCATAGACAAACAGGCTTTGCTGATACATTCTACACATTACCGTAATTAAACTAGCAGCCTAAAAGGCTAAATGCTCTAATCTCCAATTAACAGTCTGCATAAGAAGACCAAGTGCCCTATTTAAAACTAATAACCAAACCTGCATACTGGGTATGGAGGGGTTTAAAAGAAGATTCACAGGCACCTCAGGAGTCACATGTTGGTCAGATTCAGAATGTGAGATCATTCTCTTAATCTGATCCATTTGTAATATTGTACCAGCACTGGAAATATTTTTCTCTTTCACCGAAAACAAACCTAGACTAATATAAGACCTGAGACCTGATCATTTGAAACACTGTGAGACAGTATAGAACTGACAGCTTCAAAGTGACACACTTTCAAATCTCACATCCTGTATCCAACCACAGTCTGTTCAGATTATTGTAAAGGGCAAAATTTGCCCTCAGTGAAGTGGCCCTTGCTGTCCTCCTCGGTTGCGAGGTGCTAACACTCATGACAAGAAATCCAATGACAAAAATCCAATATATACTCAATATCATGCTGTGAATACATTTTCTTTCACAGACGGAAAAAATAAAATAACTTTGTATTATAAAATACAAAATAGCTTTATTAATATCTCAAATCAATTGGACTTGATTGCACACAACTGTATTTTGTAGCAGATGTTTGGATCATTTCTTTAACCTAAGCCAGAGTAGTACAAAAATGAATCCAAATTATGTCAAGATTTAATAATTGTAAGATTCATATGCCTGTAATTATTCAATATTTAATATTAATATGACTGTAAGACAGAGATTTTTCTGGGAAACTCTTCACCTGTTCATCAAAAGTCACCTGAAACACTCTTGGAAAACACAAAAAAACTAAATCAAATGGGTAAAAAGAGTGAAGTTTAGCAATTTCAGCAATGACACATAATTTCAGTTTTGCCCACTCCTCCCCAGGGCAGTTTTGCATATAAATAGTTTGGAAAATGAAAAGAGTCATCTGTATTTCTCTAGCTGGGTAAGCATTGGCAACTACTTTAAGTTTTCCTTCATTACAACTAAATTAAAACCGTGAGTCTCAATGCTGTAAAAGCCACTTGAGTGAATTGTTTAGTTGGCCGGGGTCCCTCTGTACTTGCTGTTACATTTAACAAACAGTTTTTTCAAGAGCAGTTCTATTGAGCCCAGAATTTCCCATGTATTAAAAATCAGCCTTTTTGATTACAGTGGGACTGGAGTTATGCATCTTAACACAGATTTCAATAGGAAGCAGAGGCTGTGGTGAAAGCTTCCCATTCTCCTGGGGAAAACTTGAGCTTACCATGCCAGCTTTCCCTTCCCCACTGGCTTCACTCAGCTCCACTTTTTCCTACGTATCCTCTTCACGGCTCAGCTTCCCCCTCCCTGTGTGCAGCACTGGGCGTTGAACACACGCAGCCCATCACCTGTGCCACTGACTCCCACAGGCTCGGAAAGACCAGGTCCTGATGGCACCCACACATGGGTCAGCCTGAGAGGTGCTGAGCCAAAGCCCCTCACAGATTTAGTATCTTTAGGCATGAGGAAAACAATGTACAAATTCCTGCTGCCTGAGTTCAATGCCACATGAAAGCTGTATATACAAACGTAATTGAAAAGAAAAACCAAACGTGAATATCAGGTCCCCATAAAAAAACAGCAAATCCTTTCCTCAGTGAACTTTTAATCTCATTTATACCTAAGCAAGAAGGACAGTCCTAAGTGCAATAAGGGGATTAGGTGTTTATCCCCTCCTACTTGGCATCAGTCTAAATGCTTATTTCCAGACAACTTCTCAAGCCCCACCTGGGTGTCCGTCTATCCCAAACACCTCCTCTCCTGCACAACCACTCATGTCTCTGGGCTGGTCAGGGCATGGAACTCTAGGGAGGCAGCGAACCAGCAACCCCAGCAGATGGCAAAGAGCCAAAAGAGAAAGACCATGAGCATATCAGAAAACAGGCAAGCAGGCTTTGCTTATTCTATGCTATGAAATTATTCAATGTAGGAAGAAATACTAGAGGACAGGTTCGGGGAACAGGTACTGGGGGTTTTAATTAAAATTAAAAAAAAGGCAAGAATTCTCCTCTCCTGAAAATATCTCGATTTGAGACTTACCAGGTTGTTAGGAGTTGAAATAAGTATTCAGATTTTCCATACCCTATCAACAATATCTGCAGTTAAAATACTCTTGCTATACAGCACAAGAACACACAAGACCTATTGCTAAGAACAGCAGCATTCATCTGAAGTAAAAATATCTATGGACAAAAGCAAAATTTTGAAGGCTTACTACAAACAAAGGGCCCCAGCTGGACCCCTGTCAAGTATCCAAAAAGATCGTGTGTCATCAAATGTATCACAATAACCAGGGTCCCTGCTACCACATGATGCCAAAGAGCAAAGAAAGGAAATTGAAAGGGGTCAAAATAATTTGGTTAAGTGTACACCAGGGCAAACTTTTCCAGGCAGTGCAGTAACCAGGATGCAAGGAAGAAAAACTCCCCTGTTTTTAAACACTGGCTAACAGAGTGGAAAGGGAAAATCACTACTCCACCTATTCTTGGGCTTTCAAGGGAGATGCAAAGAGGCAATCAAGCAAATTGAATAGATCTTACTTCCTTTCACACCCGTATGAATCAAGCCTTGATAATGCCAAGGGAGGGAAGTTCAGCAGGACAAAAGCTTCTCTCCTCCTCACTTGAGCAGACAGGCAGCAAGGGGAAATCCTGCACTGGCAGCAGAAGTTTGCAAAGGGTGGCACTGCCCACCTCTGCCAAAGCCCCACTCACAGAGGAACTCTCTTGTTTTGCAAGGAGTGTAAAACAGTTTCAGCAGGGGCTCTGGTTTGCTTTTTAAAGGCGTATGAGAGCTCAATCTCTTTATGGTTAGAAATTACACCCACAACTTTCTTCTTCAAGCCACCATGATCACTAGAGTCATAATGAAATACTAAATTATTCATGTTCTTCATTAAGGAGTTCTTCTCTTATTTAGCAACAAATAAAAACAAAACCAAGGCTCTTTCACTTGTTCCCCTAGGTTTTATTTTAAAACAAGTAAATAGGAAGAACAAAATTTTTCATTTTGACCCTGAAAAAGATAGGTCAGTCTGAAAAATTCTCTCACATTCCTTCTCATTTTACCATTTGAATATCTTCTGTAGCAAACCATAAACCAATTTTGAAATTAAAAATAAAACTGATATTTTAAACCGAGTCCCAGTGGGATTTTGTGTTTGGCTATGTATGGAATATAATGCAATTAAGAATTCTAAGATCTGGGTTACTGTCCTATTTCAGCATTGCTTTACAAAGTGCTGACAGCCCTGTCAGGTTAGCACTGGTGTGGATCACGAATTTACACAGACAGAGGGACAAGGAGCAGATTCTGCACTGCATGCAAAGGGGCAATTCTTGACAAACTTGAGAGCCCAAATCAGTACCTCCTTTACTGACTGCTGCACAGTTTTAATCCAAATCAGATTATGTATAGATGGATCACTGTATCAATATTACAAACCTTGGAACAACACGGGAATCAGAAACAGCAAAGCACAATGCCCTAGATATTATCCAAGTGAGTACTGCAGTAGAAATCCCTGTATGCAGTGGAGATTTACCCTGATTCACAGCTTACACTGGTGACTGGATTCTCACCAAGGAAAACCATTTCAAACCATGATAAATTACCCTTTATTTAGATTAGGGATTTTAACTGGTTCAGTTAAATCAGTGGAGCAAGTTCCCAAGAGAGACAGGAATATTCTAGACAGAAGAAGTCTGCGTGTTTAAAGAGAACTGCATTACCATAAGATGTTCCTTCTACCTTCTGCTTCCAAGAAGAAATCCAAATAATCTTTGTTTATTGTACCATTGGAGCTTGAAAGGGCAAACATTTTGTTTAACAAGACAGCTTTTAAACTTTCCTTGTTTTGTGTAACCAGCTATTTGAAAGAGAGACTGTAGCCAAAACCATTGCCTTACCACCACCAGCCCTCATTTATTTCTGCTGAAAGACAGCTATGCTACAAGCAGCTGCTACCTAGATGTAACAGGTCAAGATACGACCTAGGATTGCACTTGATTTCAAGCACTTCAGTGGAACAGCTCCTTCTGTTTGATTGCATTCTTTGTCAAAACAAAACAAAACAAAACAACACAACAAAAAAAAAAATGCTGGGGAATATACCAGTTTCAACTAGATTTTGTTGAAGGAAAAAGAAACCCAAGACAGAGGGTTTCAGAAAACATTTTTAAAGTACTGAAAAGTACAATATTCTAGTTCAAATGACTTTTCACTTCATGAATTTTATCAACAAAAAACCTGGAATATTTTTTTCTAAGGTCCAGAGGGACCTCAGAAAGGAAAGCCTTAATTCCCAACATTTCCTATGGTCTATGAATAAGCAGTTCCCCAAGCACCAATGAAATATTCAACTGTTTTAGAGAAACACATTCCCTACTATTCACACTTGCTCATTTCTTCATGAGACATACAAGAAGAAATTCTATTCTGTGTTTAAATTGTTAACCAGAGTTTTTGCCTCCCTCCATCCCCCAAAGGCAACAGAAGAACATGAATCAGAAGCAAGGCAAGAGCTTTGAAAAGGCTCTAGTAATTTAGGATCAAACTAGACAAACTCTTCAGAATTTTACTGAGAAAATAAACAGTAAATAGACAAATTAATTCTGATCTGTCGAAATGAAGACAAACAGGTCACTGGAAAGCACTAAAGGATTGTTACACACCTTGAATAAGGACCTTGAGAGGGAGAAGAAGAGGAACTTTCATATCTATACTGTGTTCATAGCTATACTACATTATAAATGCTTATAAGCTTTGTTAATTGTTCAGTTTCCTCATTGAAGAAAGCTCAATCCAAAATGCACTGAAAGTCAATTAAGGGGTTTTCCTTCAGTTTAAATTATGCCTAAATTCATCTTTATCTCCCTTTTTCAGGCTATGGTAAAAGGCATTTTAAAAAGCAAACAAAAACCTGTTTTAGCTAATATAACAAGATGCATTTAGCCCAAAGTATAGGAACCAATTTAGCACTGTGTCCATGACAAATCCAGTTTGAACTGCTATTTTTTCTCCAAAGTTCAACAGTACCTGATGAACAGCAGTCACAGCATAGTCTGAAATGAACCTGACATGAAAAATACACCTTTTCAAAACACTGATGCTATCTTAGAGGAGAAAAAAAGGACCTTTATTTTTGTTTTTCCTCACAGTACAGGCAACATGTCATTCTTCATACTACAGTCCTGGTGAGGAACCTTGTCCTGTCAGAAGCCAGAGACAAAACATCCAGACCCCTCAAAGGTGAGAAGCCTTATACTTTTACACCAGGAGTTTGAGAGTTTAAGGAATAAATTATAACTCTAAGAAGTATTTCCATGCCAAGCAATAGCCCTAGTTAAGCACATTCTGTATCATCTGATAAGGTTTTTCTTTTTTAAGAAATAGCTTTAAAAGGCCACATTTTCACAAAGGACAGCCTTTATTTATAGAGGAAAAAAGAAAGGAATACAGAGTGTTCATATATATAAATCTGTAGTTTACATACTGTTCTTTTAGTCTGTGAATGGAGTCATTCTTTCTGTCATTACTGTTTTTTTCTGGGTGGTTTTTTTTACCTTAAAGAAATAGGTATTTGGTAAAATACATAAGCAGTACTTTTAACCAGGTTAAGGATTTGTTTGCGATTCAAGCAGAAGGTTTGTGTTTCAAGCCCATCGCCAAAAGGGAGTGTCAGAACATTCAGTCATCCACGGGACACTAATGCACATTTGGGCTGTTTAGTCATTCTGCTGTCAGCCCAAAAAACACCCAAGGATTAGGCCAGTGGTCCATTAATACATGCTCCTGGAGTGTCCTTTACTATTTCTTAATTCCTATAGCATTATAACCTGGTTGAACAGAGCAGAATTCTTCCTGTCATTTGGTAATTTTCCCTTAAAAATACATTTTTACTAAAGGCTAGATGCCTCCAATCTGGTGCAAAGGGTTGGAGAACATTGCTACACCCTCTGTATCTTTTCAGAAAGAGGAGGAAAGGAAACAGCTGTCTACTTTTCACAATAGCTGGATTCAGCCAAAAAAAGGCTCCACCATATGCCTGTACACCATAATAACCACAGCTGAATGTCCCATGCCCTGATTCAACTAAGCACAACATTTCAAATGTACGCTGGAGAGCAGATACAGAATTTTTTCTGGAGAAAAAGTCTGTTTTGGTATCGGGAATCACACTGTCACTGATGGCATTTGAGTAGGATTATATACTTCTGCCACAGTTATGACATCTATATGCACAGGGCTCAAGAGAATCCAGAAGACAAACTTCTCTTCTTCAGTTCAGGGATGGAGATCTAATTTTCCTTCATTTTATTCCTGCAAACAAATGCTGAGAGAATGCACAAAACAAATTAAAGTCCCATAGCCATCTTATTTTTCCTGGTTGTTTTTTTTTGTTTGGTTTTTTTGGTTTTTTTGTCCTACTTGTATTGTCAGGCCCAGCAGGGACATTCCTGCCTCAAAAAGCAGGCAAGCAAGCATCCCTTGGGTGTATCCCAAGAGACATGTTCCACATCTCTCATTCTATTCTATTCCATTCTACCAAGTGTTGTGCAGGTACCTTTCTTTCCATACAACTACGCAGCCCTGCATGATTATATTGGACTGCAAAATGGCTGTTGCAGCCCAAGATCAACATACACAAGGAAATTCTGACCTTGCACACCATCAGTCTGAGTTCTTGCTGTTAAGAAAGATACAAGAATTTCAGTGCTGGCAGACGAATCAAATCTGACCGAACTGACAGTCTAACGGAGGCTCAGCAGTTCTGGGACACAGAGTATTCTGGTTAAGTCACCTGCATGGGTAATTCAGAGGCTGTCCAGATGCCAAGGGAACTTCTCCCCCAAGGCACAGAGGGAGGGGAAAAAGAGCAAAACTCTTTAAAAACATCTGTTTGTTTCTATCTCCTCTTGTCAGTCAAGCCTCTTGCCAAAAGTTTGTTAAAGGTAATTAAAGGGAGGAAAAAGTGTATGATTATCTTTATTATTATACAGATAAAGAAATTGAGGAGATATATGTTAAAAAAAAAAAAAAAAGAGAGAGAGAGAGAGAAAGAAGTAAGTATGAGAAGTACAGATACCTCTGCTTCTTGTAGGGTCCCATGGTTCAAGCATACCATGTCTGGACATGTGATAGGGGAACCACAACCTTCTTGAATTGCCAGCTCCATGTACTGTTTTAGACACTAGAAACAAGTAAAGAAAAGAAAAAAAAAAAAGTTATATCCCACATGTTGGTAACAACCAGATGTCAGAGATGCTGTGCAGTTCCCACCTTCACTGCCTTAATTGGCTGTCCTGAAGCTGCAGCACACAGCAAACATCAATTATTATAAGCGTGAATGCTACAAGTCATTACATTGGAAAGAATGAAACAAAGAACAATTAATTATGCATGACTTCATCTGCCGAGCACTGCGTTTACCTAAGTCAGCAAGTCAGACCTTTCAGCTGTAACAACCCCTCTGCTCTGCTAAACTGGGATTGGAGGATTTGGCAGAGGTGGGTGTCTTTTATCCTAATTAAACAGGCTTTGCGCCTTTCTTTTTCCTCCTGTGTTCTTAATTGAGACTCTCAGCCGGCAGTCTCCATTGTAGAAGAACTCATCTACAAGAAAGACACTACTGTTCTCAGCTGCACAAAAGGGGAAAGGGGTTTAGCACCTGGTTGGGAGGTTATAATCTGCCCTAGAAGATGTGGAGCTACCAGTTCTTCCTCTCCCTCAACCTCCTCCATAGATCGAATAATCTCCATAATTTATCACAATTTATCATCAGCCTTTACTCTATCCAAAGTCTATTTCCAGCATAGAGTCCACTTCATGAATGTTTCCAAATTGTTCCATTACAAGAACAGCAGGCTTCCCCTTCAAGCTCATAAAGCCCTCTATTCTCCCCACCCTTTATCTGGCATGCCAGTTTCAAATATATTCAACTTCTCTTTACAACACATATTATAGAGTTTTCAGTAAAATCACAGTGCAAAACTCATGCCAAAGAACACTGCTAGAATTGTTCCTCCAAATTGCATAGATAAGTAAGGTCACTTCTAAGTAAAACAAAACAGCAAAGTCTCTTTGGCAAGCATAATGGCAAAGCATACAATAAATTGCAAGTCACCATTAACAAAACAACAAAGCCTGGACTTCTGACAGATTTTGGTATCAGCTTGCATAGTTTACTGTAAATGAAAATAAACATATGTTATGAAAAGTAGGACTAATGTAGTTTTTTCCCCTACAGTTTTATTTTCATGCCCACACAACAAACCTCCACCACAGTACTGCTGACTTCTTCCATTATTGCCCCATCAATTTTTAAGAAATGTCAAAGTGACATATGGCTTCAAGACCTCTGTCTCTCTGCAAACTTTTGGAAGAGGCACAGAGTTCAAAAGCTAATAAGTGAGTGACGGGGAAATCACAGTCCTTCCGAGTATGGAGGCCTTAAGACTCTTCAAAAAACATTGTTTTATTTATTTATAGGCATGTAATATCCAAGTCTGTGTTAGTCTGGGCTACTCTGAGAAGGCCTTGTATATCGTTCTCTGATTAAAGAAATTTCCTAATTTGTATTTTTTATTGGAAAACTGATTCCCTCTTAACTGTCAGGATAATTAGGACCTTTACAAATGGAAATGATATTTCTTTATTATTCTGTCTCTCTACTGAAATGTCCACATCCACGTTTTGCTTAATTCTGATGAGCTATACAGAGATATTAGCTCAAGCAAGTAGAATCATCTTAACTTAGTGGCATTTTAAATTAACTTACTTTTGATTTGTAAATATTTGAAGTGTATTCTCTTAGAAGAACATTGGGATATAACCTAACTGGTAAGCTTTAAACATGTGTCTCATTAAGCACTAATGTATTCAGATCCAGCATGAACCCCTATAAGAAAGCAGCAGAGCAGGCTGTAAGGAACTGATGGTGCAAGTAGTATGTGGGAGGTGAGGGAGATACTCAGAGGTGAAAAGCAAAGAAGAAATCATGTCAGTCAGTGAAGGCAGTATTAGCTCCCTAGGGATTATCAACCCAGATTTACCCAGGAGTTATTCTTTTATTATTCCAACAGCAGTCTCACTGCCCTGTCCCATCTTCTCACCCACTTCTCCCAAAAGCATCCAGAGTGCTTTTACAAAGCCGGTTTACCCACCGGATCAAATCACCCCCAGCACAGCAACTCCCTCACAGAGCAGTGAGCAGTAAACAGAAGCAGATACGGAGCCACAGTGGTGCCTGGGAGTGTACTCTGGTGACACTAGAGCTGCCCACATCTGCCACCATGGTCTGGGCAGTGGTAGCAGGTGACATAGAGAAAGCCCAAGAAAAGCATGCCCAGAGCCCAGGGTGGCTCCCAGGGCCATTACTGATGCAGATGGAGGCTGTGGGTGACCTTGTCCTGCAGCCCCAAATTCACTAAGCACTGAGCATTGCCCACATGCTCCAGCACGTAACACAGGAGAAACGGGGCAGCAAGTGCTCACTCCCGGCACAGATTTCTTCCCTGGTTTGCACCTGTACCCAGCCTCCTCCACAAATAATGTAAACAGAAAATTCTGCCCTCAGAGTCCCTTCCCCAAGGCCTGCACATGCTGCAGTGTGTTGAGTGCACTTCTTAGATACGTGGGCAGAACCTCCTTACATCTCACTCCATCTCCTCAGGGGAGACCTGATTACTTTCTGGATCAAGTCTCAGAGCAGCATTTGGTGAAGGACAAATGCTTCCCTCCCACCAAAGCATTTAGGTAGCCTTAAATTCCTCAGCAAGCATGAGAGAGCAACCTTTTACTTTTGCTAAGATCCTGGGTTCTGTCTCCTCTGTGGCGCCGCCTGATATTTAGTAATTTGTTTTGACAGCATGGTACAGTGGATTTGTATTCTGGGGGCAGCTCAGGTCAGGTGGGTACAGAGGGAGGACGAAGCCTGAGAAGCTACTGCAGGCCCAGCAGCAGCCCAGAGGCTTGATCTTAATTTAGACTCTCAGGACAGGAGCTCGGAGCACTGACAATTACGCTTCCGTACAAGGATGGCATGAAGCTCTTAAGGAGCTTCGATCCACAGTATAGATTTTGCAATCTGTTTCCATACGCAGCATCTAAGCACCAAGCCAGAAGAACAGAGGTTCCTGAGGATTGCTAATGGATCTGGATTCTTCTTCTCTTCTAACCCTCTGCTTGGCTGTAGGTGAGCAGAGGTGGGCAACCAAGCCTTCTGTGGTTCTTTTAGAGGTTGCTGTGTTTTTCAGCTTGAAAAGATTTTGTAATTGGGCTGTGCAGTGCCTGGATATTCAAGTACTCCCCAGAAAAATCTCTCTGTTAAATCATTTCTATAGATATGCAATCTTTTGTTTTGACTTTCTGTGCTTAGAGAAGGTGCTTTGGGTGCAATACAAGAAGGGCTTAAAGTTGCTGGGAAACTTGGAAGCATTTAGTATTTATCACTGAAGGATTAAGCTTTTTACTGAAGTACATACATGAATGAAGATGTGAATTTCCTGTTTCCTCTTAGCACCAAAGAAACATTGGAAAATCACTAAAATTTTAAAATATGCCCTAACTTTGCAGCAAAACTGTTTTCAAAGGGGTTTTACCACTATTTACAGCTCAGCTACTAATTTAGCTGCTTACTTGAGAAGTGGCAACTAAGAGTATCTGAAAAGATGCAAGCCAAAAACGTGATGAAAAGATGTTTCCGTGTCTGTATAATGAATCACAACTGACCTTCTCAGCAGTGTGTCCTCCCACACTTCAGAGAATACATTATTACAGACATAAAATAGCAAGATTTTTTTGTGCATTTTGTCTACAAAAATCAGTAGTATCTCAGGAATACTGCATACACTACATATGCTACTTAATTGCTCCTCAAAGTTAAGGAAAAATCAAGATGCTCTGCCTTCTGTGATACAAAGCACTGCCTGAAAGGGTCTTAATCTTGACATCCAAGAAATTATGAGATCACAACACCCTGGGCTACACTCTCCCACCAATTTCCTGCAATGTGGTGACTTTTGAGCACAGAGATCCATCAGTGGCTGGAGTAGCCTCAACACAGGATCTGTGGCTTACAGTGACATTAATGCCATCCTCTTACTTTCCATGGCCAGAGCCAGAAAAGTTTCCATGAATGTTTCACGTAACCAAGGCAAAATGGTTGAAACAACAAACTAAAAATCTACCAAGGTCTTGCTGAGCCTTGAAGTTAACTAACTAACTTGCTAACCTTCTGAAGGTTAGAATCCCGCTGACTACAAATCACGCACTGGAGGTTTGATTCCATTATGTTCACCCCACAAATAAAAAGCAGACACCAATACAAGTACTTTTAATTCCCATGCAAGTGTGCTCTAACCAGTTACATTCAGTTTATTCAGATTTTCCCCACTGAGGAACAAGATCATGTACATATCTGTGTTCTGGGAAACATAATAAAATCCCGAGACATTCAAGCAAGAGAGATCAATTCAAATGTGATAATGTAATTCCACTAGTAAACTCAGTACACTTAACAGAAAGCTTTGTTGCTGATCTAGCTTTGCAAATCATGTGTTGCTCCTGCTGGACAACTGACAACTTTGGTCAAAAGAGGACTGCAATTATTTTTTTCTCTGGCTGAGATTCATAATGTATAATGACATTTTTTTCCACTAATTTGCTGTCTAAGTGTTTTGGGGCAAGATTTTTTTCCTCTTACACTGGTTTTGTCATTCAGGCCATCACCTTGCTCTGTTTAATAAAACAAGATCAATATCCAGTTATCTACCTCACAAAATGCTACTCATGAGTATCTAGTAAGTAAAGGCCTATAAAGTACCTGGATCAAATTATCCTGCAACATATATAAGATCATGATTTAGCCAAATTCTTACAAATGCCCCAAGTACATATTTCCCTCCTGGAGCTAAGGGTTTGTTGAAAGAGTACATTGAAACGTGATGGAATAATCTTTAAAAATACACTGAAAAGCCTATTAAAAAAATTCACAAACTACTAATATAAAGTATTCCTTCTTCAGTAATAAACAGAAGTGTTTCTATGATCACCTTCAAACCTGAGAAAGAAAATTCTGTTCAGGCTATTAATGGATTTTTCATTTTAACAATTCTGCATGCTGCTCTAAGTTCAATTTCTTTTTTTCTCCAAAGTGGGTATTTTTAATATAATGACCAAGAAAAAGATGTT